TACACACACATAAAATCACTATGTTGTATATCTTATACTTACACAATGTTATATGTTGATTAAATAAATAAATAAAATTCTAGCTTTTCTAATTTCTCCATACAACACGTTCAATCATCTCTTTTCTCCTTTTCTTCAGTCCATTTTGGTACCCAAATGGCAGTGGAAATTGTTAATTATTTTTCCTTTACCACAGAAATTATATATATAATTCTATCTATATCTATTGTATATATTATCCTGTCTTTGCTTTGCCAAATAAATTTCTATTATAGATTTTAAAAAATAATTCATTATGCTATACATTTTTGTACATTTATTTTTATGCTCTTTTCTGTATATGTATTATATTCCACAGCAAAAATAGTTTTAAAAAATTGAAAAAATGCATTAGTGATTGGGGCACCAACATCCTTGAAGAACTCGCTGGTGGCTGTCATCTGTAAGTCAGAGAATAATAGGATCCCAGCACGATAAAGGCCACAGAGATGTGCCTAATTAGTGTCGAACTATCCAAGATAGGTAGGCACATTTACCATAACAAGCCACGGTCTGGTAATTACAGTTTTGATCTACAAGGATTTGGGACAATAATTAATTGACCCTAGGGGTCCCTAGAAATGAAATAAATGATGGGCAGCCTACTAAGGTACTGATGTGTATAGGAGGGAAAATTCTAGGGGTGCCGAGAATAAACTTGAGTCCCAGTGATGAGGACTCACAGCTTCTTACCCAGTTCCCAGACCTAATTCAGGTTACACATCAGGAGCCTCTTTTTCAAGAGTATCCCAGGGTCCTTTGAGGAGTGACCCTCTGATGTTGCTTCGGTGTGTTGTGAATCTTCCCCAACCCTTTCCAGAGGGTCCTATTTCCAGGAGTGACAGTGACTAGGGAAAACGAAATACCTGACCTACAAGAGTTACCAGATACTGGCTCTGAGACTCAAATGCCAGTGTGGTCCAGCAGTTAGAGTCAGAGCTTATTATGGCAAACGATAGATGGAGCTCTGGTCCAAGTCTATTTAATGGTGGGTCCAATGAGAACACAGACTCATTTTAAGGTAATTTCCTCAGTCTCAGAAGGAAGAGAGATCTTTACCACCCAGCAAAATCCCCATATTGGCAAGCTGACCCACAGAGTGAGGATTATTATGATGGGATGAGCCAAATAGAAGACACTGGAACTGCCTTCCACCCTATCTCCAGGATAGTAAGTCAAAGTCAATACCACATCCCAGGAGGATTTGCAGAGATTGGTGCTGCCATCAAACCTGACTTATGCAGGGGTCAGTGATTTCTTCCTCATCCCATTACTCACCACCTAAATCATGGAGAATGACAGTTTATTGCAAATGTACTCAAGTGGTAATGCCAACCTGTGGTTCCAGATGTGGTATCTTTGTTGGGTCAAAGCAATACAGTCCTTGGCCAACATGAAAAAAAAAAAAGACAGAGTTTGGTGGGACTCTTGATTCTGGAGGTAACAGGTAGGACATTTGGGAGTGCTGCTCCAACCAATTATGGTAACCCATAAAGCAGCCGGCTTTGAGTGAGGCCCAGACAAGAAACGGTCCTGAGCAGTCCACACTGTGTGTGCCGTCTTGCCACCAGGCCTTATGACTCAGCCAACTAAATGCTATTGGAGAGTGTCTGTGGCAAAGAGAGATGGTGTACCTCCCTGTTCCCACTGTCAATTTGAAACCTATGAAATAGCCCTTCCATCCATGAGCAGCACCACCTAAGGAACAGGCTGAGGCACCCTCAGCCTGCCCACATTGCCTAAGCTCAGACTCCTTCAGGGATTTAGGGAAATCAGCCAAGCTCTAGGGCCAGGTTTCCCCACTGTGGCGAAGGCCAGAGGAGAGGAGGCTGCTCCCAGCTCTCCCGGCTTCTCCATCTGCCATTAGCAATCGAAAAGCTGGGTCTAACTCACTGCCAGGAACACAAAGGGGGACAAACACAAGCCAGCTCCAACCCCACTATTAACATCACTTCAGTTGGGCTTCAGAGAATGGAGCTGTGTCTTTACAGAATTCCCCAACGCTGAGTTCCTGAGGCCCCACTGCTCTTCACTTCCTTGGCATCTTTACACCAAGGATATTTCCTTCTCCACTTCTGGCCGCCAGAGTGGAAGTCTCTCATCTGCCCAGCACTTGAAAAACTGCAGCAAATGTCACTGGGAACATAGAAGAACGGTGGCGGCTGGCAGAGAAGAGGTGCAAAGATGAGCAGAGATGGCCAAAGGAGGAACTCTACCTGCCACCAGCCACCTTCCCAAAGGAGGAGGTCCTCCCTCCTATCTAGCTCTTGTACTCCAGATGTAGGTTCCCTTCCAGATATAGTGGGAGCAGGGGAGAGAGAGACAGCAAGGCCAGGCAAAAGTGGGGGAAATCTGTCCTAGATGTACTCACTCCCCAGAGGTGGGGATGGCCAAGCTTGTAGCCCAGCTGGTGACATGCCCAAGTGCACCAGAGACTCTGATGGACACGGGCCAAAGTGGTTGCAGGACAGCTGCTGTGGGAAGCTCCTGCCAGCAATTCTTTCCAATTCACTCTTCTTTCAGAGAAAACTGAAGAGGGGACAACGAGTTGATTTTTAAGGAAAAGACTCACAGGTCCTCAGATTTACATGTCTTGGGGACTTCAGAGAGCAGGGTCCACAGACCTAGGAGCCTCATGTATAAGGGGAGGGTGTCTGTGAGTTGTCCCCACCCCCTTCATACGTCCCCCCAACATTCTTAGCCATTACTCAGTCACAGCTCCCCACTGACAGATACACCTTCTTTCCACGATCCCACGATCATACACATTTCAGAACAGACGAATGACTATTTAGTTTTTTTGTTCTTTTTAATTCAGAAAGAGAGAGAAAGGGAAAAAATAAAAAATGTTTGTTTAAATAACTATTGCAGAAAAAGAGATGTGGGCTGGATGCTGGGACCTACCTCTTCAGAATGGGGATTTATTAATGGTTTAAACAAAACAAAACAAAAAAGAGGAAAAAAGGAACAAAAAAGAAATAAATTATTCTGCTCAATACTGTTTGGCATGATTGCATTGTTTCTTTCATTTTCTAAACACAACAGCCTCTTCACGAAGCACTGAGAGGAGACTGGCAAGAATGGCTGGTGCTTTGACTCTCTAATGGTGAGGGAGGCCCTGAGAGAAGCATTCCATTAAAGGTCCCCCAAATCACTCCCATTCTTCACTCCTCCTACTTTTGGAATTGGGAAGGAATACACTCAAGCTAAGTTCTCAATATATTAACTTTTAGGGGTGCTCAGTGCCCTGCCTCAACCCTCCTCTAATATACCCCCCTGCTGGTTACTGTTCCCCCAGCCAGCTGCAGGAACTATACCAATGCCCCGAGGCTGCTTGGTGGCTTCAACTCACTAAGAAAACGGGTGGTATTTGTGTTTGTCACTGTCAGGAAGGGGGATCCTTTTAGTGGTTTGGAAGCTTCACAGAAGCCCTTTCCCCCTCCTAAACTTCCCCCACCTTGAAGGGTGAGAATACCATCAGCAGCTTCCTCTAAGGACTTAAGCTGGGTTCAGTCATGCAAGTAGCTTCCAGTTATAACCTGGTTGTTAGCTTCCCAGCCCTTCTAGAGTTGGAAATGGAAAGTGGGTTAGAGGAGGGAGGCAGTAGGTGAGCATGGGAGAAGGGACGAGTGGGCAAGGGAGGAGGCATGCAGGGGGCCAGCTCAGAATTTTAAAAGAATCATTGTTGGTCAGCCAAACCTGGTAAGCTCAGGTTAACTAAATTATGAGCCCAAAGCAAATTCCACCCCCGAGCAAGAGGTTTCCTACTCTTCTTTGGGGTGATGGGTTAAGGAAGAAGGTGCATGCACCAGGGAGCTGGGCTCCCCATCTCCAGCTTTCTTTACCACCTGTTGCTCCCTCTCCTTAGAGCCAGCCAAAGACGTGTGTGGTGTGTGTGCGTGTGTTTGTGAGAGACAGAGAGAGAAGCAGCAGTGCCCCAATCATCCCAGAGCAAGTTCTGATTATTTTCTGAGCAACAAGTAGGCTGGTGAGGAGGCCCAGGGCTTAAGGAGAGACACCGAAAAGGGTGCGGGCGAACAGTAGGGTTAGAGGCCGAGGGTACTTGTGAGTGAGAAGCACCTTACATTTGATGTGACGGGGCTTCCTTGTCCCCTGCCCTGTTCCTTACACTTGTGTCCCAGAGTTAGGCCCTAAGCGAATTCCGCCCCCAAGCAAAGGGTGGATACAGTTCTAGTTTTCTAGTGAGATACCAAATGCCCTGGTCAGAAAGGCCATTCCATAGGGTGGCCGAAGGCGGGGATGGGGAGGAGGGAGGATGAGGGACCCACGCGCCCTCTGGATTCTCACTGCGTTTCTTTGGTGGGTTTACACTCACCCAACTGCGCCTGACAGGTAAAGGGAATGTGGGGTCTAAAACTCTCTCCGAGGCCTGGAGCGGTTTGGGAGGGCGCTAGCTTTTCCTGTGGGGCGAAAGCGCGCCCCCTAAAAACCACCTGAGGGCCCCTCGACCACCCCGAGGCCGCGAGAGACCCCCGGGAAGGGAAAGCAAGCCGCCGCTGCCCCCAGCCTTTCCCATTTCCTCCTCGGCGCCCCCAGCGGGGTCAGGCCAGCAAGCGGCTGAGAATCGCCCCTGCGGAGCATGAGCAAGCTACTTCACCGAGGCCGGAACCAACCCCTACACCACAAGAAGCATGAAATAAAATCCTACCCAAAAGCGGGGGAGGTGGGGGTGGGGATTGAGCGGCTGCCGGCCCGCCCCCAAAGGCCATTGATTGGAGGAGACAGGCCCCAGCGCCGGAAGTTCTCCTTGAGTCGCATGATTGGCTGGGAGAAACAGAGGCTCCGCCCGACTGCAGCGCTGATTGGTGTCAGGCCCGGGCCGGCGCCCAGAGTCCCGTGATTGGCAAGGGACAGCCGCGCTCCCTGGACTGCAGCATGATTGGTCAAGACCGCGGCTGGGCGTCGCTCCCACGCCGAGGCCGCCGCCCCGGGGCTGGCTCCGAGTCCCGGCCGGGCCGGAAGGGTCGAGGCGAGGCCGGGCTCAGTTGCCTCGGTAGACCTCGATCTTGCTGGCCTTGGCCAGCATGTCGATGATGTGTGCCTCGAAGTCGGCGTCGTGCACGCCCGTCTTCCGGAACTCGCCTGCGTATCGGTTATTCTCCCAGTAGTGGTGCCAGTTGCCCCGGCTGTCGGCCCCGAACCCGTACACGTTCACCTGCAGGGGAGGGCGGTGCAGGTCACCCCACGGCAGGGACCGGGAGGACAGGGTGCGGGCGGGCCTCGGCTCGTGGTGGGGGAGGAGAAAGGGGCCGCAGCGACCCGACGACAGCTGGGGGGCTGGCAGCTCATCAATTCTGAGGGCGGGGGTGGGGGGGTACCCAAGCCTAGCGCTGAGGACACTGACCAGAGGGAGACGCTGCTCTCTTCCGTTTCTCCTTCCATCCTTATGAAAACATCAAGAATGCCTCAGTTTGGGGCTATGCTATGACAGTTCTGCAACATTTGCTAACTTCCTCTTTTTTTGTATGAGGAAGATCAGCCCTGAACTAACATCCACGCCAATCCTCCTCTTTTTGCTGAGGAAGACTGGCCCTGGGCTAACACCTGTGCCCATCTTCCTCCGCTTTATATGGCACACTGCCACAGCCTGGCTTGACAAGCAGTGCATCAGTGCCCGCTGGGATCCGAACCCCGGCCTCTGAGCGTGCGCACTTAACCGCTCCGCCACCGGGCCGGCCCCATTTTTTCCTTTTTTAATGGAGCACTTCCATTTGAAAGCTGGTCAAATACCCAATACCATACACTGAAGAATCTACTGGCAAAAGTGGGTGTGCTGGGCGTCAGCACTGCCGTGTACGGCCCAGTAGCCCCGCCTGCTAGGGAGATGCGGCTCTTTGAACGACTGACTAACCTCCATTTTTAACACACAGAGTAGGCCTGGGGCTGGAAGCTGTGGGACACTACCATCCCAGTGGAACTTAATTACATTGTTTCCATTCTATTCATGATTATGGTTATTTTTTCTTTCTGGCAAGTAATATCAATTATGGTAGTAGTATTCTATTTCCTTTTTAAATAAATTTAATTTTTCAATGAAGTGATTTCAGATTTGGTAAAATCATGAAAGTAGTAAGTTTGAGAAGTGCAGATCTATACTTTATAGCCTAGAAATGGGGGGAATCAAAGCCACTTGGATTCTGCCTATAAAAGCACATTCCTCTTGAGGCACTGCTAAGCCCTGAGAAGGGCTGACTCCCTCTATGCCATGAGCCCCGCTATTTTACCCCCAGACTGGGCTCCTCACCTCATCACACACATGCAGGGCAAAGAAGAGCACCAGCATCCCTGTGGAAGGGTACCGCCCATGATGCTCTGTCCACCGGTCATGGATGTACTTGAAGAAGGCTGGGTTATAGATCTGGACCTGGGAGGAGAAAAGGTAACAGACACATGAGGGGCTTTTGGGGCCTGGAGACTCAGGCCAGGCTCTGAGTAGCTTCTGCCAGTTCCTCCATGCTTGCCAGTGGATGTGTTCCTCTGTGTTCCCTGGTTCCTGCTGCCTCTGGGGGCGGGGGGGTGAGGCATACCAGCAGATGAGGACTCTGAAGGTTCTGGAAGTGCGCTGGGGGACACCTGAGCCACAGGACCAGGCACACCATGAGTCAGGTCTGTACTGTTTCCATTGAGGTGGGGATGAATGAGGAGGAGGAGGAAGGAGCTTACCTTTTCTTTGTCCACTCGAAGGAAGGACTTCACTGGGGCATAGGTGCTGCAAGCAGAAAGAAAAATAACATTGAGATGGCCCTGTGGGACCCAGAGATGCCTTTCCTCCTACTCAGGCCTGAGTAGGCTCCCTTGCTTCCAGACTGCTCTCCCATAGCACATCACTGCATACACCTTGCTCAGAAAACTTCAATGGCTCCCCGTGTTCTTCAGGATAAAATAAGATGTTTTAGACAAGCTTGGGGGCCTTCTACAATCCAGCCCCAACTTTTCAAGATTTTTTTTTTTTTTTTTAAGATTTTATTTATTTTATTTTTTGCCCCCAAAGCCCCAGTAGATAGTTGTATGCCATAGCTGCACACCCTTCTAGTTGCTGTATGTGGGACTCGGCCTCAGGATGGACAGAGAAGTGGTGCCTCGATGCGCATCCGGGATCCGAACCCGGGCCGCCAGCATCGCAGCGCGCGCACTTAACCACCAAGCCACAGGGCCGGCCCCAGCCCCAACTTTTCTTCCCACAACTCTCTGCTGTGAACTCTCCACTTGCGTTCGCCAATCATCTCACACCCACCACGTTTGTGCTCTGACCTCTGCCCACAATGACCCTCTCACTACTCTCCCCACGTTTGGCACAAATCCCGCCTTCCCTATTAGCGAGCCACAGCACCTGAAACCTACACTCCCTTTTCTAAGTATCTATGGGACTTAAACTCTACAGCATTTACTTTAGCCCTTATGTCTCCCAAACATAAAGTAAGATAAAGTCATGAAACTGTAACTTATATTTCTGTGTTTAAAAAATACACAGTGATGGGCCGGCCCCGTGGCTTGGCGGTTAAGTGCACGCACTCCGCTGCTGGTGGCCCGGGTTTGGATCCCGGGCACGCACCGAGGCACCGCTTCTCCGGCCATGCTGAGGCTGAGTCCCATGTACAGCAACTAGAAGGATATGCAGCTATGACATACAACTATCTACTGGGGCTTTGGGGGGAAGAAAAATAAAATCTTAAAAAAAAAAAAATCTTTAAAAAAAATACACAGTGACAACAGGCAAAAGATGGAAACAACCCAACTGTCAATTGATGGATGAATGGATAAACAAAACATGGTATATCCATATAATGGAATACTATTCAGCCTTTAAAAAGAATGAAATCCTGATACATCCTACAACACGAATGAACCCTGAAAACATTATGCTAAGTAAAATTAGCCAGAAGCAAAAGGACAAACACTGTATGATTCCACTTACATGAAGTACCTAAAATAGTCAAATCATAGAGACAGAAAGAATGGTGGTGATATTATCAGGGGCTGGGGGCAGGGGGGAATGGGGAGTTACTGTTTAACGGGTACAGAGTTTCCACTTGAGATGATGAACAAGTTCTAGAGATGGATAGCGGTGATGTTTGCACAACAATGTAAACATACTTAATGCTACTGAACTGTGTGGTAAAAATGGTATATTTTATGTTATGTATATTTTACCACACACAACATGGTGAGACAGAGCAGATTCGTGGTTGCCTAGGGCTGGGGGATGGAGGTGGAGAGAGTAGGGGTGATGGCTAAGGGGTACAGGTGTATCTCTAGATCTTTATCTTTAAAGATCTTCACCTTTAGAAAATGAAAGTGTTCTAAAATTAATTGTGGTGATGGTTACACAACTCTCTGAACTGTACACTTTAAATGTGTGAATTGTATGGTATGTGAATTATATCTCAACAAAGTTTTAAAAAAACACTTGGTGAATTGAATTTCCTGAGGTTCCTAGTTGTGACTGGGTACCTGCTTCCAAAGAAAGTTCTCAGAAGGCAGAGCTCCCACAGTCAGGAGCCACTTCCTGGAAAGGAGACCAAAACTAGATTGTCCTTTCCTCACCTTTCCACCATCAGGATGCTGGCTGTCACCATGCAGGAAGTGACACAGAACAAGTTTTGGCCTCAGTTAACCCACCATTTTGGGCCCTCCCTACTATTGCTTCTCTCCTCATCAGCCCCTCTTGGCCAAAATATTCAATTAAAGGAATTCTAAGATCCAGTCCCTAGGAAGACTCCTCCCAAGGTGGTCCTGTCACCCATATTCCACTTCAAGTCAGCAGAGCAGCTCACAATCGGATCTGCCCCGTGGACAGGGCACTGGTGATCCACAGTAGGTCCAGGGCTTTGAAGGGCACCAACACGAAGCTGACGTTGGCGGGCAGGTTCTTGGCACTCTCAGGGTACATGAAATGGTGGGTGGTTCGGCTGCCAACATCCTGCTCAAAGCCCACGGTTGGTGCCTGATTCATCCTGCAGGGACAAGAGGGTGACATGAGAAGAAACTGCCCTGGAAACTGGTACAAGATTTTTTGAGGACAATTTGGTGCTGGCCATCAAAAATGTACATGGGGGTACACTTTGAGCCAGCAATTCCATTTGTAGAAATCTGTCCTATAAAAATGGTTGCATAAGTGTGCAAAGACATGTGTACAAGGATATTCACTGTAGTATTATTTATAATAGTGAAAAGGAGAATCAATTAAACAATAAAGCACTGGTTAATAACGTTTTGGCACATTCATATAATGGAGTATCATGTCGCCATCAGAATGAACGAAGTAGATTATGTGTGCTGGTAACAAATAAATCCAAGAGCTAGGCTATTTGGTGAAAAAACCAAGTGGTATGAGGTATCCCACTTCTTTCATTTCAATATGTATCTTTGGAATACCTACTATGTGCAGCAGGAGGGAATTACAACACAGAAAAGGAAAACTTAAAACTAGATAGCATGATAACATTTTTTGTAAAAAAAAAAAAAAAAAAAAGGAAGGAAAAAGGAGAGGGAGAGAGAGAGAGAGGAAGAGAGGAAGGGAGGGAGGGAGGGTGGGAGGGAGGCATTCAGCCAGCCCCAGCCACCCTGTCCCTGTACTTTAAGTTCTTGTCCGCCTTCCCACTCCAAGGCCAAGAGTGATGCCCCAAGTTCTGGCAGTGCCCACCCTCGGCTGTACCCTGGTGACGTGCAGTGTGGGTCTGTCTCTCCTGCGCTGTCAAGGAAGAACCTGGAAACCCGGTGCAGGCTCCCCAACCCCCTGGGTGCAAGAAGCCAAGAAGGCTTCTACTTCTTTTCAATTGGTGCAAAACATCAATAAAATCAAAGCTCCCTTTTTTGGTGGGCATCTTAAAAACAGGTGATCCAGCTTTAAACACAAACCTGTTGGTCTTTTCTGCTGTGACCGTTTATGATAACATTCCTGTCTTATGTGGACCACCTTGCAGAATCATGACCACCCAGGTGGGTGACTGTAAACTGGACCTCCACTGGGGACACAGGGATCTGGGAGAGAGGGAGCAAAGTCTCCACGTGCTCTCCCAGCTTTTTACGCTAGTTCTGTAAAACCAGTGCAAACGTTCCCTGTCCTTCAAGTGGCCAGCACCACAGAGCTGGGTGGGTGAAGACCTCTTGTGTCACAGGGGCTTCCACACTGCCTTCTTCCTGCCCGTCTCCCATTGATGGCATGATGTGGTAAGAGCGTGTCCAGGATATCCCACCACTGCCAGTCACAATGCCATGCCTCCTTGCCTCTCAGGTTCCCTTCCCTTGAGGGACTGAAGGGTGCTTTGAGCTGGAAGGCTATAAAGCCTGATTTGGAACTAGAAAATGAGTCTTCATCCTTAGCCACCTCAGTTCTAGTCTAGTTCAAGTAGAAGCCTAGAATCTTCCCTGCAGGACCAACTGTGCTCTGGCCCCCAAACAGGGATCCAGATCCTGCCTGCCTCCCCCAAATCCATTTCTTTAGATTAACTGCCCCTCTGCCTCCCGTCCAGGTGTTCCTCTGATCTCCTGGTTTTTAGGGTTCAGAGACATTGTCTCCTGGAGGAGCCAAGAAGTATCTTTTCCCATCCATTAATAACAGTTTTCTGGGGCTGCTACAGCTTCACACTTAGCATTGGTGTCCTATGGTCACCAGAGCCACAGTCTGGATCTGCCTTCTGCCACATCAGCCCTGGGGTCTGTGAGGAACAGAGCAGGTTGGAGAGGAAGCCTTAACATAGATGGTGTTTCTCAGCTGCTTGGGTTATGGAAGGGGGTAGCAGGAGATGGAAGACTTGGGATGGTGACACTCAAGTTGGCTAGGGCCTGGGCTGGGCAGGAGCTGGGGTCAAGGTTCACTCTCGTGAGGACCCAAGAAACAAACCTCATCTCACCTGAGATGGAGAGGCCAAGGTGGTCCTGCAGATCAAAGGGCTGCAGCTGCCCCAGGTTAGCCTCTGAAGACACCCACACCCCCACCCCCACCCCGCCGTCTGCCTTTTCCACTGAATCAGCAGCCAGAGCTTTCATGAAGTCCCTTCTTAGACCTGTCAGCCAGGATCACTGCCTCCCGCTCTTCAGTCGGCCCTGCTGCAGAGCCTCCACCTCCCTCAGGTCCCTCCTGCTTGCTAGGCAAGCACTAGCTTTCAAAGTCTGGGAATGCATGGAGTAAGAGGTCCAAAGAGATGTTTCAGAGCCTCCAAGGCAAAGGGAAGGAATGTGGCATACTTTTGGGGACAAGATTTTGCTTCAAGGCTCTGATTCATCCTGGAGAAGCCACTCCCTGGAAAGGGGCGAAAAGCAGGATGGAGAGGATCAGCTGGGTCTCCATGACTTGGGGGAAAAGTATTCTAGAATTCTATCTGTCCCTGGCTGCTTTCAGCTGCCAAAGAAGCACCTGGGGCAGAGGCACAAGCAAGGTTGACGTGCATTGACACTTAGGGTTTGACATCTGGTCGCCTAATCTCTTTCGTTATTCATATATTTATGGTGAGCCTACAATCTGCCAGATGCTGTTCTAGGAGTTATGGATGTATCTGCTGGCCAGCAGAAGCAGGACCAGCTCAACTCCATTTGGAGTTGTCAGCAGGGCTCAGAAGACATATAGCAGGAGGAGGAAGCTGGTTAGGGGGGAGGCGGGTAGAGCCATCATCTCACTGTAACTTAGCTCAGTCCTCCCAGTGAGGTCTTATGTTGGTCCTGCTTCTAGAAAGGGAGGCCTCCCCACTGGTTCCAAACCAAGATACTGCTTATAAACAGAGTCACTTCCACTGCCATCTGGCTCCTTATACAGATCAGCAAAAAGCCAATTACCATATGGGTTACACCTTCCACAAAGCCATTCTGAGGCCCACTCCAAAATACCACATCTCCTAGCTGGTCCCTGTGAGGGGATGTCTGTGAATTCCTCTGCAGCCTGGCCTGACCAGGTATCGCCCATGTGTCATAGAGGCCAAGCCTTTTTGTCTGCTGTGCTTCTAGCCTGGAGCTTCCCAAGCAGCACCAAGGTGTATAATGCAAGCTCCCACTAGGTGCAGGTGGCAGGGCAGGGGAGGCAGGAGCTTTCTGCACTCGAGAGCATTTCCCTGGGCTTCCCAAGTTTCCCAAGCCTGCACTGAAGTGATGAACACCTCACTCCCCAATCTCAGCCACTGTCTCTGGGTGGAGAGAGGCCCCTCTCCAGCTCCCAGCTTGCCTCCCTCGCATTCTGGGTGCCAGCACTTGGACGATAGGGAGAATCTCAGGTGGCTCTGGGTTCCTGGATGGGGCCTAGCATCCCCCTTTCTCCCCCACCCCCCACTATTCTCAACATGAGAAAGGTTTTGTAAGGAATGTTGAAAGCCTCAGAGACATATTGCTGCCTTGGTGTTGCTATGGAGACAGCAACAGTTTCTAAGACAAAGCCCTTCCTTCTGCCTCCTGGGAAACCTGGTCTGTCTATAATGCTCATCCTAAGAGATGCTTAGTGAAAACTGGGCATTTTCAGTATCTTTATTGTTAAGGCTCTTCCTCCACCAAGGAGTGAGATAGAAGGATCTCCATTTCCTGTCCTCAAGTCTAGGGAGAAAGTCAGAAAACAGAGGTTCCGGAGCACAGTGAGCAGCCCTGTACAAGTCTACCCTCTAGTCCCTGTTCACCTCCAGGCTCCTTGCTCTGTGTCTGTGTATGGAATGAATGCCCTCCCAACCCTTCTCTTTTCCTCAAGACTGGCCACGGATGTCTGTTGAATAAATGAACCCCTACATAACTAAACCTTATGAGATAAAGGTGAGGGACAGCAGCTCAGAGCAAGCACCAGACAGCTCCCTTTCCTGCCCAAGACTTCCGTCTTCTCTGAGTCTGCCAGAAGGAATCACCTGTGGCTATTAAGCAAGACGCTAGTTTGGGGCCCTCATTCCTGGCCCAACTGCTGAGGGGACTAGGCAGGTGGAAGGGCCTCTGCTGGGAGTCTTCACTAGACATCAGCCAGGAGTCTAGTTTCAGCTCTTTTCAGAGGAATTCGGAGTTGGAAACTGAGTGCAGGCCTCAAGCAAAGTTTAGAACAAGAATTTTGCCTCCCCATTTACCCCAACAAACAAAAGCAAGAGACTTGAGCCTGTCACAGAAGGTTTTGGGTGTCAAGGACCCAAGGCACCCCCAGCAGCTGGCATCTCCTATGCTGCCAGACAAGGCCAAGGTGGCCAGTCCTCCCTCCTGGAGGCTTATCTGGGGCCCACCCTTGGGCTCACCTCATGACGAAGTTGTGTCCGTCCACATCCGGTCCGTAGCCCGAGCCCCGCAGGTTGCCTGAGTTCCCCACCACAGCACAGCGCCGGCACTGGTGGGGGTCCCGGAAACGGTAGGGGTTCTCGCCTGGTACTATCTGGAACAGCTTCTCCAGCACCTCGTTGGTATTGTGTGACTTGAACTGGGGCTGCAGCATCTGTAGAGGGGAGGGGAGGGGCGGGGGTGTGAGCAGAGAGCGACTCCCACCTGCCTCCCTCTCTGCCCTCATCCTCCAGCGTCCAAGCTACACATGCCTCCTAACCAGGCTGTCAGGGAGCAGGAATTCTCTCTGAGCAGTGAGGACCCTCCCCTCTCTCAACAACAGCGAAGTCTCCCTTCTGAGACGGTGTCCTGCTAGTCAGGAGCTGCTCTGATGCACTCAAGGGGGCTCAGCGGGCAAGGCGCTATTCAACACATTCTCCAGGGATCTGCAGGCCTGTGCCATGAAGCAGAGAAACTTCCTGAGCTCATCATGCTTGAAGAGGCCCCTGCTCTGCTGCCTTCTCAGGGCAGCTCTGAGTCACATAAAGAGTCATTCTGGGGTGCAGTTAATGTGGAGAGCTCCACCAAGCTTCAGGGGCTCATTCCCAATCAGCGTATGGGTGCACTCCTGGGACTCAGCCTGAGGGCTTGGGGTTACAGAAGCTGCACCACGGGGTACCTGGAGCCACACCCTCAGCACTCAGGGAAAGGCAGAGAGAGACAGAAATTCTTTCAAATCAGAATGGCTGGAACAAAATTGGTCACCTGCACCTCCTACCACCAGTGACTGTGAAAGACCAAGAAATGAGGCTGGGGCAGCACTCAAACACCTATGGCGCCAGAAAGTAACACACAGGAGTGAAGCAACGAGCCCAGAAGGACCAAATTTTCCAGTTTTTCAAGAGAAGATGAAAATATGAATTTCAGGTGAAATATCCTGATTCCTAAATGTTGGTAACTAATGCAAATATTTTAAAAACATTGAGGGTGTTAGACTTGGCCCATGGACCACCAGCCAGTAAGGTAGAAACTAGGGCTTTCAAAAGCTCTGTGGTCTGAGCGGAACCACCACAGGTTTATAGCTAAGCAGGAGCTACTCAGGGGACAGAATACGTGGAGGGGATTGGGTAGGCCTGTTTCTCTGCCTCTTCTCTGAACACAGAATGGGCCCCTAAGAACAAGAACACAAACTCAGTGTGGAGAGGAAGCTCAGCTCTGAGACAAGAATTTCTAAGTTAATGGCAAAAGGGGATGACTGTGGGTTGCAGCAGAGAAGTGGCTTCTGCTGCATCTCGGCCGAGAAACATGCTTGGTGCTTCAACAGCCTTGAGTTCCATCCTTGTGGGCAGGAGGCCTCACCTGCCCATGGGTCTACACCTGCCCAGAGTCCTGTTCTGGCCCTAGGTGGCCACCACTGAAGCCTTGGATAAGCCCTGTGCACTCTCTGAACCTTGATTTTCCCATAAAATGAAGGCTGTGACCATGAGCAACAGGCAGGACCCTTCAAGGGCTCCAGGCTCTCACGGGAAGGGCCTATGGGGCTCCTGGTGACCTCTGCTCTGTGGAATCCCTCATCCTTAGAAACTCTGACAGTCTAGGCCAGGAAGCAGGATCTGAGTTGTTCTATAAGCCTGATCACATGAGCTCATCCTCACAGCTTCCCTGAATGTGAGAAAAAGGGGGAGTCATCATCCTCCCCATTTGCCAGCTGGGGAAACCGAGGACCATGAGCTGCCTCCCAAGTTCCCAGTGGGGAATGCAGGTAGCCTGCAGGCCCCTGGGTTAAGTAGTGATGCTGCTTTACCCCTGACACATGTGGCAACCAGATGGCTCTGGCAGAGCCTGGAGAGTAACCCTCCAGAGACAACAGGGACAAAGTGAAGGGAGTTAAAAGCAGCAGAGAGGTGACAGAATTGAGAGGAGCACGGAGGCTTGGGTACATGTGTTCCTTCATCCCCTTCCCTTCACCGCCCTTATCACCCAGAGAAGTTGACAATGGTTTCTTTCTTTTCTCTTTTTTTTTCCTGTGAGGAAGACTAGCCCTGAGCTAACATCCGATGCCAATCCTCCTCTTTTTGCTGAGGAAGACCTGCCCTAGGCTAACATCTGTGCCCATCTTCCTCTACTTTATATGGGACGCCGCCACAGCATGGCTTGACAAGTGGTGCGGTGGTGTGCGCTCGGGATCCAAACCCGCGAACCCCGGGCCGCAGAAGTGGAGTGCACGCACTTAACTGCTGCGCCACCGGGCCGGCCCGACAATGCTTTCTTATCCCAACCCAGAAGAAAATCTTTTCCAACATCGTAAAGAACCAAGTGAGTGGCCCTCATGGTGTTTAAAATTATTTTGAGCCAACATTTACAAATTAGGATATTTAGCAAAAAATTCTGAACTTCCAGGTTCTCTTAAAGGGTCACAAGATCCAGCAGTGACGGGGTCACACCCCTGCAGGGCAACAATTGCTGGAGCTGATGGTGGCTGCCTCTTGTACAAAGGACAGGCCCTCTCTCTGTTGCCATGGTCCTCGCTTCTCACCGTCTTCTCCCTTGGGACCTGTTTCTCCTGTCTATGTTACCTCCCTGGCCCAGTAGGCATTTCTGGTCTATGCTTGGCCCCTACAGGGACTAGGATGTATTAGTTTTCTCTCCTAGGCCAAAGCTCACTCTGCCCTTTAGAATCTGTGATCCTAGTAGATGGTTCTAGTCAAATGGACCTCACACTTTGTCAAGGCTCTGAGAGCCAGAAGACAGACAGCCCAAATCCAAGAATGGGTTCTAAGAGTGACTCCCAAACAGGGGGGACAGACCCCTGGAGAGGGGGCAGCAGAACGGAGGCAGAAGGGGCCACGGCTCTCTCACCATCCACCACCTCTGGACATCCGGAGGCAGATCCATGTTCTCTCGAGTCCAGACAGGGGAAATGTTGCTGTTGAAGTGGCTATCAAACCAGTCAGAAGCACCGGCGTCACCCATGCAACGGCGGCAGGCACAGCTCTTGCCAGCAAGCCCCTCTTTGCTGAGGCGCTGCAGGCCGGTATAGCCAGGCACCAGCTTCACCCGGTGCGTCCCGCCCAGGGCCCCCGAGTCCAGGTAGGGCAGGGTGGTCATGCTGTGGTGGGAGTAGGTGAAGAGCAGGGACATGATGAACACCAGCAGGAAGGCCACGGAGAGGAACCATACCCGCAGAGAGCACTTCATGGCTCAGCGCCCCAGGGGGCTGGACCACCAGCCTGGAGGGCAGGAGGGTGTCACCGTGGCCACTCCTTTCCCAGCCTGTTGACGGGCCAGCCACGGTGCCTGCCTGTTCTGGCACCAAGTGCAAAGGGCATAGGGGCACGTGCCAAGAAGGGGAGAGCAGGGGTCCCACACCACACCCTCCTTCAACGTAAGGAGAACGCACGTTGGCAGGAATGGCTCCTCTGTCCCTGAGCCACACAGGCCCCTGCTTACGGCTTCATCAGGTCTTTCTGTCACTAGCTGGGCCACAGAGGCTCTGCTTTTCCCGCCGCCCCGGCGAAGGGTAGGTCAGTCCATCCCAGCCCTCTAGTCCCTTGGGGTTGTTGGCTACCAGCTCTGGGAGCCCACCTCTTTAGCAGCTTGAAATGGTCCAGTCTGGAGCATTCGGGGTCCTTGTGGTTCATGAGCAGACGGCGAGGCAGCCCCTCGTCCCCAGCAGGGGGGAAGCCTTCGAACCCCGATCACAACAGAGAGCACATGGGCTTCAAGCGGCCTGGATGCCATGCAAGAGTTGGCCCCACCTCCGTTGGCCCTCCTGGCCCAACCCCTCTGCCAGGGGAGAGAACCAGGCCCCAATCCTGAGAGAAGAAACCCAGGCAGCTCCGTGGGTGTCAGAAAACTCTGCTGCAGAGACCAAGATCCTCCTTGCGTTAAGTTCTGCCCTTCCACTTCCCATCCGAGGTGCTGGTCCCTTCTCCCGAGGGTCACAGCTCCAACTGTAGTTGCATAGGGGATCACAGAGCTCCTGCCCCTGCTGTGAGGTCCTCTGGGGCCTGAGAACAGCTGCTGCTCAGAGGGGTGCTTCTTTGAATGCTGCCTGGGTCAGCCGAGTGTGTGCCGAGCTCCCTGTCAGGGCTCAGGCCTCCGTCTTGATGCTGCTGGCCTGGGCTCCAAGGCTGCTCTGCCCATCCCCGCTCTCTTGAAGCTGGCTGTCCTGCTGTTACCTTGCACTAGCAGTAATCCCCTGGCAGGTTCCCCGTCACTCGTCAGGCGCCAGGCTGCCACAGCGTGACCCTGAAATTGCAGAGAGGGAAAATAATGTGCAGATAAATTGTACATGCACACACATTCTCCCCCAGCCCCACCCCCAAGCCCCAGAGGGGACAAAGCTGGCGGTAGAGGAGACATTCACTTAACCAAAGTGTGGACAAAAGAAAGGGCTCTCCCCTCTAACTACCCACAGATAGCATCGCTCTCTGTAACTCAAGGCATCAGAGGATGAGATCAGCTGCCCTCATCACTTATTAGCCAGAAGGTAAACAAGGACGAAAAGTGATTTCCCTAGAGTACCTGGCAAGTCGCTGCAAGAACCAGGTTTAAAAAGTTCCTAGTACAGCTATGAGAGGTTAATTTCAGGTGAAACTTAAGAGAAAATGACCCAGAGAAGATCCCAGGGGACCATGGATATGACTCCCCATCCCAGTGCTCTCGTACTCTCTGAGTGCCTGTGAGAAGCCCCTCCGAGGAAGAAGCGGGGCTGGGCCTGGGCCCTGGAATTTGCCCTCTTCTCTCTCGGGTGTGGAGTATAGATGAAGCATTCCTGGGTTAGCTCAGGTGAACCATTAACAATCCTTCCAGCTCTGGTGTCAGGGAAAGAACCCAACTGTGTCAGGACGCAGGGGTGCTGGGCTCAGCACCATCACCAGCCAGCCCTCTGGGCAGTTACCTTCGTCTGTATGTTATGGACGAAATGAATGCCAGGGTCCCTGGGAATGCTGATGGTCTGAGGTCCTGTGCTGCCCTGGCAGGGAAGAGCAGGGAAAAGAGCCACTTGCGGGGCAGTTTGGGGTTCGCCCTAAGGAAAGGAGCCTGAATCCATGCCAGGTGCAAGGGAGCCAGGGTAAAAGTCAGGGACAACGCTGAGAGGAGAGCCCCCGGGACATGGCTCCATGCCACGGCTCCATGCCACGAGGATCACTTAAACCTGGCTGCCTGCCTGTCCCCACCAGCTCCTCTCCAAATCCAGCCAGCTCCAGTTCTGACCTGGCCCCTAAGCCTCACAGCCCCTCACTGAAAGCTCCAGCTCCAGCCCTTCCAGGGGCCTCCGGCTGCTGCCAGCAGCTGCAGAGACAGCCTCCCAGGCTCTGTGTTCAAGAACCTCAGCTGGCCCCTCCATTCGTGGCAGCTCAAATTTCTGGGGCCAAGCCAAACCACAAAGCCATCAGGGAACGGAACTAGCACGTTCCAATAAGGAGGACATTATTCTGGGTGGGGAAACGATGCTCATGGAAGTGAAGGAACTTGCCTAAAGTCACAACGTTGTGAGTGGAGGTGAGATTTGCGTCCACGTCTATCTGGTTCCAAAGCCTGCAACTGGCCAGGGTACAGAATGCAGCACGTGAGCTCCTTCAACTACCCAGGGGCTCAGGGGTGAGAGACAAGGAGACATAGAAGTTGGCTTCCCAGGATCAAGAGGGAAGCTTCGCCCAGCCCACAGGCCTTACCCAGGGCTCCTGGCTCTAATCCATAGGGGGCCCAGCACTGGCTCCAGTGTGCTCCTTCCAATGTTATACTGCATCCATTTTGACAGGCCAGACTCCAGGCATGGACTTGGCTGGATGGTCTGTAAAGCGGAAGCCAAGTCATTGTCTCTTCCAGTTCCCCCTCTGCCATTTCCACAACCAACTCTAAGGAAAAGAACTTAGTTTTGTAGGATCCTGCTCCCAGCATCCAGTGACCTGAGGAAAGCCAGCCATGAGACAAGTGGACCTGGCAGGCGGTGACTTTTCAGGCTGAGCAAGGGATGAGAGTGAGGGACCTCGCTAGGGAGACCTGGTTTCTGGTGAACCTGGACCACTGTGGCCACTGAAGGGGCCTGGGGGCTGGGCAGAAGCTGGTGCAGAAGGCTCCAAAAAAACCATTTCCATCAGAGAAGTCAGTAACTCCTTGGGATTCTAACTCAACAAAGGGGACATCTGAGGTAACCAGCTGCCTTGCTGGGGAGAGGGGAGAGGAAAAGTCCTAGTTTGGACAACATGTTTGGCAAGAGCAGAGAAGTAGAATAACCAGCAAAAGCCCTTGCTTTGCAACCCCACGGCTGGGCTGTTCCTGGAAGCCTGAGCTGCTCAACTTGCGTGGAGGGCAAATGGAGGTGCAGGGAGGGGCTGTTGCTACCTGGGACTAAGAAACATCAGAGGCCCCTAGACACGCACCCCAAATCCTAGAGGTCCCCCAATGCTGACCCATACAAAGTGCTTGCACGCGGCTCACTTCCTTGGTGAACTCCCCATGCCCTCCAGTCACCCACTACCTCGTTCTGCTTCCCCCCTTCACAGCTGCTCTGATCATCCACGTTAAGCCCATGCATACCCCAGTACAAAAAAGTTGGGGTGAGCGTGCACACTTAGCATTGGCCCCCACCTCTGGTGCCAGCAAAGGGAAGTCTTCCTGGGCCACTTGACTGGTGGGGGCTCAGTTAATAGATACTTAACAGGCCAGCACTGGGTCAGGGGGATGGTGGGGGACAGGACACACCTGTCCTGCCCTCATGAAGCTTCCGGTCTAGTGGCAAATAGAAAGGCACAGGGGATTACAAAGTGCAGTGACAGGAAAATTACAGAGAACGAAGCAGGGGAGGGTGTCAGAGAGGAAGGCATGAGGGGCCTGGCCACAGGGGGCTTTGAAGGGATTAGGATTTATTATGAATCTGATGGAGGGTTTTGAGGAGGGATGTGTCATGACCTGATTTATATTTTAAAATAAACCCTTGGAGAGGGCCGGCCCTGCAGCTTAGCGGTTAAGTGCGTGTGCTCCGCTGCTGGCGGCCCAGGTTCGGATCGTGGGCGCGCACTGACGCACTGCTTCTCCAGCCATGCTGAGGCCACGTCCCACATACAGCAACTAGAAGGTTGTGCAGCTATGATATACAACTATCTACTGGGGTTTTGGGGGAAAAAAATAAATAAACCCTTGGAGAAAATTTTTTAAAACTAACACTACCAAGAGTTTAGAGAGCATGTGGAGTATTAACACACCCACACACTCACCATTAGTGGGAAAAAAATAATCATCTTCCAGCGCTTGGAAGACAATTTGACATTACTTAGTAAAGATGGACATGAGTATATCCCAGTGTTTTTCTTTTTTTTAAGACGAATTAGAAACCATCTTTCTCACAAAAAATATGGTGTAGGAACAGAATGAGATACTAGAAAGTTCCTCCAGTGGTCCTGGGCTAATTTATTTTATGACTTCCTATGTGCTGAGACATCCTCAGAGATTGTAAACCTCCTCAGGTTTGGGTGGGAACAAATGGTTTCTTACCGAAAGGTTGAATATTTAGAACAGCTGAATTACAAAGCCAGTGAGTTCAGCCTGCTTATCATATTAAGCAGATTTAAAGATTAAATTGAACTCTGACAAAAGGTTGAATACACTGTTTCATTTTCCCCCAAATTCTCACCTCCACTTGGGCAATCTATTTTTTTCACTGAGGTTTAATTCATATATAATAAAATGCAGAAATCTTTCAATGTAAAGCTTGATGAATTTTTACCTATGTGTACATCTGTGTAACCACCCAGTATAAGAGACAGAGCATTTCCCTTACCCTAGAAAGTTCCCTTGTGCTCCCTCCCAGTCAATATCCACCATTCCACCACTTTTCTGAGTTCTGTCACCGTAGACTAGATTTATTTGCTCTTGAACTTCATATAAACACACATTTGTACTCTTGTGTGTGTCTGGCTTGTTTTGCTCAGCACAATGTTTTGAAGATTCATCCACGTTGTTTGTATCAATAGTTTGTTCTTTTCCATGTTTGGACATCTGAGTTGTTTCCAGGTTTTGGTTGTTATGAATAAAACTGCCCTGAACTTCTTGTACAAGTCCTTTTGTGGACACATAAGTCTCATTTCTCTCGGGTAAACACCTGGGAGTGGAACTACTGGGTCACAGGGTAGGCGTATGTTTAACTTTACCAGAAATTATCAAATAGTTTTCCAAAGTGATTGTAGCATTTTACATTTCCACCGGTAACAAATTTTCACCATTTGTTCCATGTCCTTGATATTTTCTATCATTTTAATTTTAGGCATCCTGGTGGGTATGTAGTAAACTCTAGTATTTCTGCTACCAGGTACATATGAACATGGGTACCAAGACATGTATAAGAATGTTCAAGACAGCACTGGGTAATAGCTGAAAACTGCAAACAACCCAAATGTCTATCAGAATAGAATGGATAAACTGTGGTACACTCATGTCATATAGTAAGAATGAATGAACTCCAGTTTCAGACATCAACAGGCACGAATATGACCCAACAACAATTACATTGAGCAAAAAGAACACATCATGGATGAATGCCTATAGTATGAGTTTTGAAAAGTTCAAAAGTATGCAAAGCTAAGCAAGAAACTGTTTAGGTCTCTATATATAGATGATAAAATAATAGAAAAAAATCAAGGAAACAACTGTAAAATTCAGGAAATTCCTGTGGAGGGTCAGGAAGGTAGATAAGATCAAGCAGGGGCCTACCAAGGCTTCAGGAGTACTGGGTAATGTATTACTCCTTAATCTGGGTGGTGGGTAGAGTATTTTTTATTCTTTAAAGAATATATAGGGCCGGCCCTGTGGCTTGGTGGTTAAGTGCGTGCGCTGCGATGCTGGCGGCCCGGGTTCGGATCCCAGATGCGCATCGAGGCACCACTTCTCTGTCCATCCTGAGGCCGAGTCCCACATACAGCAACTAGAAGGGTGTGCAGCTATGGCATACAACTATCTACTGGGGCTTTGGGGGCAAAAAATAAAATAAATAAAATCTTTAAAAAAAAAAGAATATATATATGATATATACTATTTTGAATGGGTGATGCATTCATAATAAAATCTAATTTTTTTTAGGTTAAAACATTTTTTATTTTTTTTTTTAAAGATTTTATTTATTTTATTTCTCCCCCCAAAGCCCCAGTGGATAGTTGTGTGTCGTAGCTGCACATCCTTCTAGTTGCTGTATGTGGGACTCGGCCTCAGGATGAACGGAGAAGTGGCGCCTCGATGCGCACCCGGGATCC